TTGTTGTTGCTGTTTTCCTGGGTCTAGTGTGCCTGTAGTTCTGTTACCTAGACATTCTCTGAACCTTAATATCATTAGTTACACCTGCCTTTGGAGTGGGCTAAATTTATTTTCAAAATAGTTATGAACATATTTCAGTTTTAAATGGTATAAAAACAACCAATAAGTTATATTTTCTAGCTGAAATGAATGTTTAATTCAATATTTCCAGAGACAATGGTAGCTTCAGTATTATGTCCCTGATCTTATTCAGCTGCGTGCCAGAATGCTGGTTTAGTCCATGAAGAGCACACTTTCTGGTTATATATGTTCTCCTGTCTCTATCAAGAACTGGCCCTGAGTATTTTGAGATGTATTCAAAGGCAGTCGTTTGCAAGTTGTAGAAATCTTCTTCCCTTTTCATCCCCCACTGCTCTAAATCTGGGGGAATTTCAGGCCAGCGCAGGTCTCCATATTAGGAAAAGATTGCCATCTGTCTGAGGGTCTCGTTTTTCTTTCTTTTTTTATGGGATCCTGGGAGAATAGGTAGGTGGGGAATGGGGATGGAGTTGGTTGAGTCGAGCAGAAATATTTTGGCTAAGCCACAGTTTCTCATTTGAGATGGAGTCAGTTTATTATGCAAAGGAAATGAGTGCAGCATTACTCCATTGCTGTCCGTTCTCAGAACACTGAGCGTGTGCGCCACCTGGAAAGCAGGCTACTTCAGTCTATGCTTCCTCATACAGACTTCTGCTATTTATGAATGTGACTTTTGGACCTTTGACGAAAATGAGTGGAAACATTGACTACTTAACCTATTCTGTAAGAAAAACAAACACCTTCATAATTTTTTCAACCTATGTGTCATTGGGGCCTAATGTGCTATGTGTTTCATTTGTTGTTATAAAATTTGGATATTCTCACCTATGGCTGTCCTGATAGAGCTATGCTTAGTATTTAAAAACTTCAGGCATCGTTTACATTTACATATTGGCATGAAAAAATAGGATTACAGGTCTTAAAAGAAAATAATAATACATATACAGAGAAAAACTATGCATTCATTAATTAAAATTGTTAGTCGTTGTAATCACTGATTAGCCAGTCACTAGATGTAGAGTCAAATTTTTTAAATCCCTGATTTGAGTACAAATTTAAAACTAAATGAGTTAAATCAGGTATAAATTCATGGAAAACTAAGACTGTTCAGGAATTTAAAATCTATTCAGAAAAACTCCTAAAAACAAATTAATCTTAAACTGTTCTCCAAATGCCACCATTTGTTTGTCAATTTGTCATACTGCAATGGCTTGCCTGTTGCTGTAATGCCAGCAGTGATGTCAATGGTATTTCATGCAAGGTGAACAAGTTTCAGAAAGTTTCCAGAGGAAGAACAAAATTAAAAAGAAGGAAGAAACCGTCCACTTCTGAGGGACTATCCATTGAAAACGTTGGGAAAACAGGGAAGCATTTTCAGCTGGAGTGCTAGATGAGCCCCTCAAGTTGGGAGGCACTGAAACTATGACCCGGAAGTGTTACCTGCTCTGAGGAGCGTTCACCTGAATGATGTTGGTGGAGCAAACCTGGTAGGACCTTCATCATCTATCTGTGAGGTCACAACTTGAAATGAAAAGAAACAACTGCAAACATCCATTAATGACCCGAATGTCATTAATTGTACATTAATGCACATTAATTCCTGGGATCTACAATCTAGGAAAATTAGAAGTTGTCTAAACTGAAATGGACCTCATGAATATCAATATCCAAGGCACTGGTGTGCTAAAAGAATTGGCCATTTTGTGTCAGTCAGTCATATGATTTTCTGTACCAGGAATGGCAATTCAAGAGGAATTTTATGGTATTCTTCATCGAAAAGGGAATTTCAAGATCTATCTTGAAGTACAGTGCTGTCTGTGATAGGATAATATCTATACGCCTACACAGATAGATAACCAATGCAATTATTAATCAAATTTACAAAGCAACACTACAGACATAAAGCAAGTGATTAATTCTACCAACTTATTCAGTCTGAAATTGATCAAAAATGTAATCAAGATGCATTGATAATTATTGGCAATTATCATGTAAAAGTTGGAAACACCGAGGAAAAAACAGTAGTTGGAAAATATGGCCTAATTGATAGAAACAAAGCTGGATATCACGTGTTAGGATTTTGCAGAACCAATGAGATATTTATTGGAAATAGCTTTTTCCAACAGCATAAATGGTGATCATACTTGTGTACTTTGCCAGATAGCATACACAGGACTCCAGCTGACTGCTTTGCTGGGAAGAGATGATGGAAAAGCTCAATATCAGCAGCCCAAACAGGGCCATAGGCTGACTGTGGAATTAAGGCCAAGGCCATAAAGTGTTTATATCTAAGTTAAGGTTGAGGTTGAAGAAAATTTAAACAAGTCCATGAGCGCCAAACTATGTCCTTAAGTATGTCCCACTTGAATTTCACAAACATCTCAAGAACAGATTTGACATACTGACCATTATTGAAAGATGGCCTGCTGAGCTGAGGGCTGGCATCCAGAACATCAGACATGAAAACCAAAAGGTCATTAAAAGGACAGAATAGAATAAATGATCAAAGTGGGTGTCAAAGGAGACTATTGAAACTTGCTCTTGATTGTAGAATAACTAAAGCAAATGAAAGAAATGATGAAAAGGGATGAACAGAAATTTTCAAATGACAATTTGAAAAGATAAAGTATTATAATGAAATGTGCAAAGATCTGGAGTTAGAAATCCAACAAGGAAGAACATGGTCAGCATAGCCCAAATGAAAAGAACTGAAGAAAAAACTCGGGTTTCAAGTTACAATACTGAAAAATTCTATGGGCAACATATTGAACGATGAAGGAAGCATCAAAAGAAGATGGAAGGAATACATAGAGTCCCTGTACCAAAAAGAACTGGCCTCCAGTCAACCAGATCAAGAGGTAGCATACAATCAAGACACAGTGGTACTGATGGAAGAAGTCCAAGATGCACTGTAGGCATTCGTGAGGAGCAAAGCTCCAAGAATGGATGAAATATCAATTGGAATGTTTCAACAAGCTAATGAAGCACTAAAAGCAATTACTTGTGTATATCAAGGAATTTAGAAGAATGCTACCTGCCCAACCCCGTTCCACAGAAAAATGACCCACGTGATGCAGAAATTATCCAAAAATGTCATTAATTTCACATTCAAGTCAGATTTTGCTGAAGATGATTCAATGGTTGCACCAGGACCCTGACAGGGGAACTGTCAGAAATTCAAACAAGATTCAGAAGTGGACATGGAATGAGAGATGGCTTTGTTAATGTTAGGTGAATCTTGACTGAAAGCAAAGAAAACCAGAGATACGTTTATTTGTGCTTTTTGCTTTTGCAAAGGCCTTTAATTTGTGCATTATGACAAACTATGGAAAATGTTGAAGAATGGGAATTCTAGCACACTTCATTATGCTCATGTGGAACCTTTACATGAACTAAGAGGCAGTCTTATAAAAGGGAAAAAAAGTTTAAATTCAGGAAAGGTGTGGTTCAGGGTTGTATCCTTTCACCAGGTTCATTCAATCTGTCTACCGAGCAAATCCTCTGAGAAGTTGAGCACTGTGAAGTAGAATGTGACATTACATCTGGAGGAAAGCTTGTTAACAAATTGCAGTAAGGGAGGACGACTAGAAGTACCTGCTGATAAACATCAAGGATTATGATTTTCAGTATTGATTGCAATTCGGTGTAAAGAAAACCAAAATCTTCACTGGACTGATAACAGCATAGTAAGGAACGAATATTATTGAAGTCAAAGATTTCATCTGGATTGGATCCACCTTCAGTTCTCATAGAAGCAGCAGTCAGGAAATCAAAGGACATAGTGCAATGGGCAAAACTGCTGCCCAAGAGCTCTTTAAAGTACTGAATAGCAAGGATATCCCTTTGAGGACTAAGGTACACTTGGTCCACGCCATGGCATTTTCAATCACCTTATATGCATCTTAAAGTTGACTACTGAATAAGGAAGTCTGTACGAGAATCGATGCATTTGCATTACGGTTCTCATTTGCATTACGGTTCTCATTTGCATTACGGTTCTCATTTGCATTACGGTTCTCATTTGCATTACGGTTCTGGGGAAGAATACTGAAGACGCCATGAACTGCCGTAGTGGTACAGTCAGGCTGACCCTTAGAAGTGAGGGTGTCAAGACTTCATCGCAAGCACTTTGGACACGTTATCAGAGAAGATGAGTCCCTGGAAAGGGATATAAATGCTTAGTAAACTAGCAGGTCATTGATACAGAGGAAGACCATCAAGGAGAGGGATTGACACAGTGCCTGCAACAATGGTCTCAAACATAGCAATTGTGAGGATGGCGCTGATTTTAGTCCCGCTATGCAAGGGTTGACATAAGTCAGAACCTACTTGCCCGCACCTAGCTACCACATTTGTCAAACTACTTGAAGAGATTTATATGCTGAGTAAAAAATTATGAAGATAGTTGACCAATGGTTTTGATTTATCTTTCCTGTATTAATTTTGCTGCTCTGATCTTTTGGTTCTAGCCCATTCCCCTTATCTTTGACTGACTCTAGACACATGCACCTAGCAAGAGTACCAGTAACACCACCTGCAGCCCAGTCCCCACCATTGATGCCAGATCCAAGGGTCTATTTTTTCCCTCACAGAAAAGAGTCTATTCTTATCCCTCACAGAAAACCACTCATGTTGGGGCATGCCCATCACTCTCCTCATTTAAAGGAAATTTATTTTTTGGCCTCCAAGGCATAGCTTTCTCCATATTCTACTATTTCATGTTCCTTTTGTTTCCTTTGTTTGATTTTCCTTATGCCTCCAACTCACAGAGTACCAAGACCCAGTAGTTGGGCCCTCTCCTTTCTGTCTACATTCACTTAGGTGGTCTCCTCATTGACTCTCCAGTTTGCCTCTCCATCCTCAACTTCTTCCCTAGCCTCAGACAAGAACTAGCTAGAAGAATGAGAACTGTGGAGTCAGACTGTAGCTTTGAATCTTGATTCTGACGTGACCCCCCTGAGTGACTGGATAGGTTAGTTGACCTCTGTGTGCCTCAGATTTCCCATCTGAAAATTGTGCACCCTGCATAGACTTGATATGAGGGGTACATTTAATTAATGCCTAGAAAGCTTTTAGAATTGTGCCGGTTAGCAATTACTGTTAGAATTTATCTTACTCAAAATGACTACAGCCAACGCAACACAGCATTAATTAGAGCATTTAAAGGTCATTTAGATGTATAGAAGCTTGTGAAAGCACTCTGTTTGTTTATGCCATGGAATTTTGAAAACCACTGTACAAAACTGCTGTAATTGAGAACTGATAAAAATGCTGATGAGAAAACATTTCATATATGCATATAATTTTTACTCAAACGGAATCTCTAGGCTTAAAACAAAGCTTACTGTTGTCAAGTCAGGTGCCGCTCAGAGCAGCCCTGTGCAGGTAGAGGGTAGAACTGTTTCTGTGCCTTTTTGAAACTGTGACTTTTTAAGAGAAAGTCTCATCTCTTTTGTACAGCAGCTGGTTCCGAACAACTGACCTTGTGGTCAACAGTCTGTAACTCAAAACCACCACGCAACCAGGGCTCCTTAAAAAGTAAAACCAAAACCACAAACTCACTACATCAAACTGAGTCCCACTCATAGCAACCCCGTCGGACCGGGTAGAGCTGCACTGTGAGTTTCCAAGACTGTAACTGTTCGTGGGAGCAGAAAGCCCGTCTTTCTCCCACGGCGCGGAGAGGGGTTTCCAACTCCTGGCCTTTCCTGTCGCGGCCCAACTTGTAACCGCGATGCCACCAGAGCTCCTTAAAATGTAGTGACCGTCCAGTACTTCTCCATTCACCGGCCCTGTCACAATTTTTAGAGTCTAGAACAGCATTGTTTTATGTTTGTCTGTTAACTGTAATTAACTTCCTTTTGCATGCTGCATTGTTCCCCAAACCAAAGTATCCCACTGCCATCCAGTCAATTCCAACTCACTGCAACCCCCATGGAGGGTGTTTGAGGCTCAGAGTCTTCCCAGCAGCAGACACCCCAGGTTTCCCCCATGGAACGGCTAGTGGGTTTGAACCCCAAAGCCTGTGCTTACAGTCCCAGCGCTTATCTGACGGTGCCACGAGGGCAGCAGAAATGACTCTCTCCCATTATAGGGCTTGTCATTGCACCACAACTCGTTTCCTTTCAGTGCCCTTGTCTTTGTCTCCTCCCTCTGAATTTCTCATCAACACTTCATCAGCATGTACTACTAAATGAGTTTAAATTAAGCACCCTAGGAATCTATTTTTACTTTGCTGTTGTCCAGGTGTACCCTCTCCATTATGCTATTATAGTTGTATTACAAACACTATGATATCACAAATTTCTGAGTACCGGCAGAAATTTTTGGTCAGCAGACAGTCAACAGAGAGCATTCTAGCAAGCTATTGGACATAATGTTATTGTCACATCATGTTAGATGGATCTGTTAAAAAATTTAATTTAGATTATGATATTTAAATGCATTCATGTCTGATTAAAAGCTATAAAGATAATTTTAATATCAATAAATATCTTTGATGCACATAGGTAAAATACATTTTCCCCAGAAGTCAGAGCTTCCCATGAAGCGATCACTGAAGCTGTGGATGCTAAAGCAAAGTGTGCTGAAGAAACCAGGTGGTGCCTACCTCTTAGAAAAATTAGTGTCTGGGGTCTTAAAGGCTTGTCTTCAAACATGTGGCCATCTTCAGTTAGACACCAGCCTGTGTGATCCAAGAATTGTAAACAAAAAAATCAAAACCGAGAAGAGGAAATAGTATCCGAGCTTAAATTCTGAGCACACTGTTGGCCTAAGGCTATAGATGACAGTGGAAACCCCAAATCCATTTGCGGGCAGATTAAGTCTCCAGTAAATCTATTCTGACCATAGTCAAGGGATATAAAGTTGATTATGACAGATGTAGTTAAATTTAAATGCAATGCCTTACTTGATTTCCCTTTTAACTCACTTTAAAGTCGTTTGTTTTTTATATTTTCTGCTTTCTTTTCCTCTTTTGTTTTATCGTTGTTTTTGTTTGTTTATTGATATTGCTTTGTATGATGTAATGTATATGAAATCTAGAATAGATAAATATGTATAGTAACTAGTTTATAAGAGGGGGCAAGAAAGAGAGATCGGGTAGAAATGAGTATGAGAAAAGAAGAAAATGTTCTGAAATTAATTGTGGTGAGGAGTGCACAACTCTGCTGAAATGATTGAACTATTAAATTACATGACACGAGTTTTATGCCAATAATACTTTAAATAAAAACGCAAGTAAGAGCTTCCAACCTTCCTATTCCCTTTCAGACAGCCTGAAAGGGACCTGTTGGCTCAACATCCAGGACAACCGCTGTGAAGTGAACATCAATGGAGCCACGCTGAAGTCCGAGTGCTGCGCTACCCTGGGAGCTGCCTGGGGGAGTCCCTGTGAGCGGTGCGAGCTAGGTAGGAGGGCTGCTGTGCTTCTGCTTCGGAAAGCTGCTCCTTCAACTCAGTAATTTTGTTCACATACTTCCGTCATGGTTCTGAGCTCGGTACTTTTGACAAGGGAATCTGCTAGCATCTAACTGCCAGGTGACTTAGTATCCTCCAGCCTCCTTGTAACAGTGTGCTCCAGCAGGACATAATGTTGCACCGCCTATGCCTTTAAATCTCCTGCTCTAATTCAGTTAATTCAAGAGCAAAAAGAGGAATTTTAGAAGAAGGAAAAAAAGAAAATCGCAACGTGGGTCAACATGGCATAGTTACTGCAGGGTGTCTGTCCTGTGTTCGGCTGGAAATAAGGAGCTTGACTTCCAAACTCTCAGCTTTTGATTTTTGTTCGATTATATGAGAGAGCTGCAAAAAGTTGTGGGAATTTTCTGATGTCTTTCAGTTCCATTTTTCCACCAACTTCGAAGCTCCCTAGTGTTGAGGTTCCATTATCATGTACCCCAAGCTCATTTAAAACAAGTGTTACTGTCTTACATAATGAAATAAACATCTGTCTTTGTGTTCTTACAGATACAGCTTGTCCACGAGGGTTTGCCAGAGTTAAAGGTGTTAGTTGTGAAGGTGAGCATGTTCTTGGATGATACTCATATTGTAAATTTGTGGAATAGTATGGAACATTCACATTCACTTCATGTTCAAACCCTAGAGATGCTTATCATTTAAAAAAACAAAACCTTGAAAATTCAATAGAAATACTTAAATGAAGTCAGCAAATGCATTAGAATAGTATTAGCAAAGAACTGTGATTGTTCCATTTCTCCTCTTATACATTTGGATGCTTAAAGAAAATTTGCTCAAGTGGGATGTTTTGGGGGAATCACTGGAGCAGTGGTTCTCAACCTTCTGAATGCCGTGACCTTTTAATACAGTTTCTCATCTGAGGTGACCCCCAACCATAACATTATTTTCATTGCTACTTCATAACTGAAACTTTGCTACTGTTATGAATCGTAATCCAAATATCTGATACACAGGATGTATTTTCATGTTACAAATTAACCATAATGATAGCATGGTGATTAGTCACAAAACAATGTGTAATTATATATAATTGTGAAACATTGATGTGTCTTCCCATGGTCTTAGGTGGCCCCTGTGAAAGGGGCGTTCGACACCCCCCCCAAGGGGTCATGACCCACAGGTTAAGAACTGCTACACTAGAGACTATTTGAAAAGTAAATGTATTAAATTCACCAGCTCTTCAGACTTGGAACAGCTGGCAAGGGACCAAGTCTGAGAAGTGTTTCATGTGGATGGGTGATAGTGGTTCAGTGGTTAAAGCAATTTCCTGCTAACTGAAAGGTCAGAGGTTCAAACCCACCAGCTTCTGTGCAGGGCAACTTGCTTCCACAAAGAGTCCCAGCTTTGGAAACCCTATGTGGCAATCCTGTTCTATCCTATAGGGTTGCTGTGTATTGAAATTGACTCCCCAGCAGTGGGTTGAGTTTAATTTGGTTTACAGTGCTGTGATTGGTTTTCACAGCTGTCTCTAGGAAACGTGGTGCCTGGGTTGTATAATACTTACTGCCATCAAGTCTATCCTGATGCCAAGCAACCCTATGGGTCAGAGTAGAACTGCTCCATAGGGTTTCTGAGGCTGAGGCTTTCAGGATCAGATGGCGTCCTCGTTCTCCTAAAGAACCGTTGGTGGCTTTGAACCACCAGCCTTACATAGCAGCCCAACACTTAAACTACCACACCATCGGGGCTCCTTGATTTGTGCAGTATTTCTACTTAACTCGAGTAATAATCCACATCATACCGCTGATTGAATATGTTACAAAGGAAGTAGGATTACACCTGGTTTTTCTGTTTGTAATCCCTTTATCCCTCTGATTACTCCTTTTCCTTGCAGATGTGAATGAGTGTGAGGTATTTCCTGGCGTTTGTCCAAATGGACGCTGTGTCAATAGCAAAGGATCTTTTCACTGTGAATGTCCTGAAGGACTGACATTGGATGGAACTGGTCGAGTGTGTTTGGGTAAGATCAATGCCTCCATGTACTTTATGTATTGTGTGCATAAAACTAGTCATCTTTTGTTTGTTTGGGTCGTTGACAATGTCCATTCTAAAACCATTGTCTCTCTGGGTGGAAACACTGCGTTACGTGAGCTATTTTGTGGGAAGCACTAGAGGATGTTTTAAAAAAAATAATGTATTTTTTAAAGTAACTTGTGTTTGGTACAGAATATTGGTACTTCCAAGGAGTTTTGTTTGAATGTAAATTTTCCATAATTGGATATTTTAGGCAAACATAATCTTTTGCCTTGGGTCAGGGAATAAGAGAACTGCACAAATATTTTGACGATAGAAGAAAATCTAGGGCTGGTATTTTACAAGTCGACATTGAGTAGCCTGTTGCAGTTGCGCTCTGAGATAAGACAGCGAGGAAAGTGAAAGGCAAACACATCCTGGTCTTCCACCTCCATCAACGTGTGATTTTCCTCTTGCTTTAATTTTTAAAGATGTGAAGTGAGTAAACTCTTTATTTCAACATTATATAAATGGCAAGTTAGCTTTGATCTTGATCTGTGTCCTATTTGAACTTGAATGGTGCTCTGGGTTATGTGTTGAGCTGCTAACTTCAAGGTCAGCAGTTCAAATTTACCATGTGCTATGCAGGAGAATGACGAACGAAGCTGGCTCCTCTTATAAAGATTAAAGATATACAGCTTCAGAAATGCTAAAGAACAGTTCTACTCGGTTCTGTAGTGTCATTATAGTTGAAATAGACTCAGTGGCAGTGTGTGGATGAGATACATGATTGCAACAGATACGTGTTAATTTCATATTGTACTCCTCAAAAAAATGTTTTTTCATTTACTATTTCTTTTCCAAATGCTATTTAAGAGTAACTGTGTAGTTTGTAAAATAACTATGCATAGGCTTATATTTTAAATGTATACATATAGACAAAGCAAGACAACACTTTTATACTTAGAGATCCTTTGAGCATGCCCACATGGAAACAGAACACTTGCCTGTATGATCTAAGGATGGTAAATAATAAATTCCAGGATCAGAGGAAGAACATTGTATTAGAGCTTAAATTCTTAATACCTTATTTTCAGAAGGCTATGGAGGACAATAAAAGCCTAAAATCCATTTGCAGAGTCCCCATGGGGATTAAACCTCCATAGAGTTTCCTCCAACCATTAACTAGGGATGTGAATATCCTTACCCTTAGACGCAGCCCATCAGAAAGTAAATTAGTGCAGATATAATTAAGTTGTAATATCTTATAATTTGTTTATCCTGTTGACTTATTATAAATTTGTTTTCATTATTTTCTGCTTTCTTTCGGATTGAGGTTTTCTTATTGTTGGGAGTTTTTTTGTTTTTTGTATGATTTTCTTTATATGAAAACTAGGATAGGTAAATCTATAGAAAAAGTAGCTGGAATAATAATTTCTTAGGGTTATGGCAAAGGAGGTTGGGGGGGAATGTGGAGCTAATAATGACAAAAATGAAAAACTGTTCTAAAATCAATGTTGGTGATTGTACAATTCTTTAATATATTTAAATGATCAAATTGAATGGTATGTGAATTATGTCAAAAAATTCTTTAAAACAAAGGTCATTTAAGTATTTAAATATATTTCTTAAGTATTTAATGGTTTCTAAATGATTTTTTAAATTTGGAATAAGAAGGAAAACTGTTATAGCATACAACTTAGTTATCATTAACAAAAATTTCGATAAGTTGAATTTTTGACAGCATATTTAGATTTGTATAGAACCTCTATCTAATGAATTTATAACCACATGGAATTTTTAGAAATTTTATACTTCATATCCAATAATACAGAAAAAAATATTTTCAGATTTTAAACATTTAAAAAATTATCTTAAATCACAGAATTTCAGGAAAATGAATAGTATATCTTTTGAAGAAGACCAGATAGCATCAGTGTAGTCAGCTAACTAATGACATCAAATTTCCTTAAAAAACTAAAGGATATTACAAATGAAGTTGTGTAATTAACCATAAATTATCACTCAGTAATATAAATTTTCCAGAACATCACTCAAAATCACACCCTTTGTTCAAGAAGGATATATTGACTCCTTCATCTTTGTTAAGTTTCTGGGTGAGCGTTTGGGGCGTTACTTGAATTATGCTACATTCATTCATTCTGAGATGCGAGCAAGCTTGAAGAAGATACTGGCATGTGAACACTGAAAGCCTTCTGAGAACCAAACCTCCCTAAAATTAGTTTTTTAATCCTGGGACCCCCATTCCATTAACTGGTCATATGTGAAGCTTTTCTTCATGCATGTTTCTTGTGAGAATTGAGTAATACTGAAGGGGACACTTGACCAAGGTAAATGAGACACTTAGAAGGATAAGGGACAGTTTTAATCAATGTTATAACTTACTCAATTTTGCAACAATTGTAATACCAACCAAAAAATACATATGTGGCTACACTGGCAAATAAGTTTGCATGCATAAGTATAGGAAGCCATATATAAGTAAGTGTGTGTGCATAGGTGTGTCTATGGGCATACGGATATGCATGTTTGGGTGTGCTGTACATGTTTTGCATAGATAATAAAGCACATAGGAGACCCGTTACGGAGCCTTCTTAGACATGCGCACTTCGTTGAATTGGCTTACTGGGTTAAAAGACTTAGGCCCATCCTCATAGGACAACTCAATCAATTGGCACAACATCCTTCAGAAAGATAATGTTCTACATCCTAGTTTGATGAGTAGAGGCAGTGACCAGCCACCAATGCTAACTGCTCTAAAAGGGAACACATTAAAACAACTGGGTAAAGTAGGAGAAACTGCAGAACAAAATTCAAATTTGTTAAAAAAGAAAGAAAAAATCCAGACTTACTGTATTGATAGACTTGAGGAACCTCTGATATTATTGCTCTAAGATAATCTATGAATTAGAGACCGAAGCCGCTGCTGGAGGTACCAACCAGATAATGCGTTGTCTTATAAAATAAGTAATATCTCTCAGTAGTAATGTGCTCCCTTAAACTATCCCCTATTTGAGACCAAGTGTTCACCATTTACACAAAAGCAAAGATGAGATGGCAAGAAAGGGACAGGAAGCTAGGTAAGTAGAAACAGAACCATCAGAACAGAAATAATGAGAATAGGAATTCCTTGTCAAAATTGTGATCAATGTCACAACACTTTGTATAAAAAAGGTTTAATAGGAAACTAATTTGTTGTGCAAAGTTTTACCTGAAAATACGGTGATTTTTTTTTAGAAGACACTGAAGGGCATTTTACCCCAGCTGTCCTGAGATGAGTATCAAAGTCGAGTTATTCCACGGGGTCAAGTACTACATTTCTGACCCACCAGTGCATCTGCTGCCTCTGGCATTCTGCCTGGCACTGAGTGCTGTCACTTGTTGTCAAGTGCCATTGAGTCGGTCCTGATGCAGACCTACGCACCACAGAATGACACGCTGCCTGCACTTGTACCATCCTCGGTCCACTATTTCAGCCACTGTTTTAATCCAGCTTGTTAAGGTTATTCCTCTTTTTTTTCTAACCCTCCTGATAAAATATCCAAAGTACACGAGACTTAAGTCTGGCCATCCTTGCTTTTCAGTATTCTGGCTCTACTTATTCCAAGACAGATGTGTTTACTCTCCTGCCAGCCCGTGGTGTAGCCAATATTCTGTACCAACATCATAGCTCAAAAACACATCAACTCTTCTTCTGCCTGTCTTATTCATTGTCTAGTTTTCACAAGCTTATGATACAGGCCCAATGCACCTTAGTTGTTGATTTGACATCCTTGCCTTTTAGCCCTTTAAAGTGATCTTTTGCAGCAGGTTTGCCAAATGCAGTAAGTCAATTGATTCCTAGACTTCTGCTTTCATGGGTGTTGACTATGATCCCACTACAATGAAATCCTAATCAAATGCAGTCTTTTTCTATTATCACGATGTTGCTCATTGGTCCACTTGTGAGAATGTTAGTTCCTTTATGTTGAGGTGTCATCCATACTGAAGGCGTAAGTGTGTATGGAGCAGGTACTTCATAGATCTCTGCTGAATGTAGGGTTCATTGAATGTCCAATTCTGATTTCGCGTTTGTGCAGATATCCGCACGGAGCAATGTTACCTGAGGTGGGATGAAGATGAATGTGTCCAGCCAGTGGCAGGAAAGTTCCGCATGGATGCTTGCTGCTGTGCAGTTGGGGCAGCTTGGGGCACTGAGTGTGAGGAATGCCCCAGGCCTGGCACCAAGGAGTATGAGACCCTGTGCCCTCGTGGTCCTGGCTTTGCCAACAGAGGAGATGTTCTTACTGGACGGCCATTCTACAAAGGTAACAGACAGCAGGCGTTCATTCCCTTGGCACTATGCAAGTCTCCTTCCTTCCATACACTCTGAGAACTGGTTTTCTTTGTAATCTGCAACTGTATTTTCTTCAATAAACCTGATTTGTTTCTAAACTCCATTGCCCAAGGGTACAGTGAGCTACCTAAGATGGAATCCATGTAACGTTCCTAGGACAAACCATGATTCTATACTAGCTTCTCTTACATCGTTCTACTCTACTTCTGCTTCCCTTACAACTGGACCAGATGTGGCCCTTTAGTGTGGAGTCCTCCAACCCCAATAAGCTTCACAGAATACTCATCAGAAGTAAAAGAATCTGGACTCTTCATTAGAATATAGAATCCATCACAAGTGAAAGCTTCCTGGTGATTAGTGAAAAATGTGATAACCCTCCCACGTGTACTTCCGTACATCTTTTAATGTAAAGTGCTGGCCCTACTTTTTGTATCAGCCCATTCTACAGACGACTTTTACTCACCTTTAGATATCAATGAATGCAAGGCATTCCCTGGGATGTGTACCTACGGAAAGTGCAGGAACACAATCGGAAGTTTTAAGTGTCGCTGCAACAGTGGCTTTGCTCTTGACATGGAGGAAAGGAATTGCACGGGTAAGTTGGCTCTCTTGTTTCATTGGGAGACCTGAGCCCTCTTTCTTTTACTCAGAAAGTATTGCCAGAAAAAGCCCATGGATGGTCACTAAGATTGTGTACATTAGTTTTCTTTCTGATACTTAACTCCAAATCAACTTTTCAGAAGAGAAATCTGAAAAAAATTGAGGTGCTATGATTTATATAGAGGACCCTCATCATATGATTTTCAAAATAACTAAGTACTAAAAGACACAGTAAACGACTCATTGATTATATAAGCTTATATAAAATACCATTAAAACTTTTAACATGCCGTGCCGCTAAATTCACTCCTCATTGCTTTTGCCACTTTTGGGTTACTGAGAAACAGGCCAAGGAGCTAACTAGATTTCTGCATTCCGCTTCATCTACCCCTTCCTGCTGCTTTACCACACTCGTATTCACCTCCTTTCCACAACTCTGTGTGTTCCTCTCAGCACTGCTCCACAGCCCCTCTCCCAACCGACACACGCTCCTGTCCTTTCTTCCTCCTTTTTGAGACCAAAGCTCGGCAGTGTGGTTGTCCCTGCCCCTCTTGCACACCCTCCTGGTGATAGAATTTTCTTTTCCTCACATACTCTCATTTCTTCTCCAGTTCCAGAGAACGAGAGGTGACGTGTGGCCTTTATTTTACAGTTAGTTCCTCTGCTTTTTAAGCTCCTTTGAACCCCTCTTCCTCCCTCTTTCTCAGCAGGGCTAAAGCCTCTTTCAGTAGCATTTCTGTGTCTTCACCGGCTCCTTCTCAATGTTAAAAGTGTTTTCTCGAACTTCTTTTCCCTTAAGCTGCCAGTTTGCTTTCATGTTTTTATCTTTCTCCTCCCTCTCTTAAAATCAAAATCTTTTACTACATACGAATTCTTTTTGATTCTTTGCTGCCAACTTCACCCTGAAATTCCCTGCTCTTTGTTCCCCTGGCACTCCCTCCCCTGTCTCAATGAACTTTTCAGGCCTGTGATGTTTCTTTCTTCTCGGTTACAAATCCTTCTTGCCTTTTCTGTTTCTTGGTTATTTGCCAAAGTTATCTGCTCCCTCAACAGGCCCCTCAGATTTTTGCCTCATCTCATGGCTCCAGGGATGGTCTCCTGACCCACTCCCAGATACTATCGCTAACTCCCCGGCCTGAGTTTCCCTCCCACATTTCTAACTTCCATCTGGACTGTTTCTCTTTCATCTCCTTTCGTCCCACCCACCCTTGTGTTCTCCCCGCGAAAGCATCCTGTATGGGATTAGCTGTATAGTTTCTCTCAGGATGGAAGCCTCACATTTAATTTTGGCACCCCCGCTTGGTGGACAAGTGGAAAAAACTAATGTAAATTCTTCTACTGAAAGGGTTATCTCAAGGGTTTTAGAATGCTTTTCCCCCCAAGATTGTTGCTGGCAGAAGTGGGGCTCTTTAGGAAAGAGGAGCATGCAGGAAGTTCTTAGAGTATGACCTTAGGATCAATAACTGGGGAGGGAACTGGAAAGGAACAAAAAGAGGGAGAAATTGAGCTGTGATGAAGTCCCAACAAAACTGTCCATCAAGTCTGTATGGAGTGCTAGATCGGCGGCAAGCCTTCCGCGTTGTCCCGAGTTGAGACAAGGCAGCAGTGCTTCATAAGCTCACATGGTCAGTCTTTGGAGCTGGCTCTCCAGGGAAGAGGTGAGCCGATGAAGAAGCCACCTTCTTCAGCTGAGCCAATCCCTGAAGGTAGGTGTGCATCCCAGAGCTATCTACCAGTAACACTCCCAACAACGGGTGAGTGCTTTTTTGGTTTTGAAGGCAAATCTGGCCAGCATGAGCTAGATGGTGCCACTCTGTAGTAGATATGACAGTATCTACTGCATTGAAAACACCTCGGAGTTCTCCCAAGCTGTGAATTTCCCAGTCGTCATCCTAAAGTCAGGTGTTAGACCGTATAATCTTACACGGAAACAACTTCCATTGACTCTGTATCATATTTTAAGGTCCAACAATCCTGGACCCGGGTAAGGAAATTCTGGCTTTTTCCAGTCTGGTTCCACCTCTTATGTAGGATATGAAATTAGTCACGTTCTATAAACCCACTGATACTCCCCTTCTATAACTGAATAAGAAAGGTAGTTGCTGATAATAACCGCCATGCCTTTGTCATAATTCAAAAGCACAACAGAAAATGGTTGTCCGTGTTCTCCTTGAGCATTTAAGCCCAATCTCCTACTCCCTCTGTGTGGCACAATTCACTTCTTTCCAAATTCTTGTCACAGAGTAGCTTTTATGTTTAACACTTTCTTAGAAACAAGCTCTTCACAAATACTAATCCTTTTAATCCCATGAAGTGGGTTCTCCTATAATCCCTATTGTACATAGAAGTAAACAGTCAGAGAAGTTAGATGATTTGCTTAAAGTTCTGAAGAACTGGATTTTAAAATATATTCCATCTGCTTCTAGAGTCCACACACATCTAGTCCACAACTTCCAGAGTCCTTACACTTCTATACTCACAGCTTCCCGTTATGTCAATAGAAATGTGTCCCTGCTTCGCCATGGGATTCATTCGATGTTCTTCCTAGGGTGCCTACCTACTTTCTACTTCTTGGCACTGATGGGCAAAAAGGATAAGAATTAATAAGGATATTAATCAGTTCCTCTTCCTAGCAGCATTTTAAATTAATATTTTATCACTCATTGCTCCAATTTTTTTGACCTTTGCATTTTTAATCCTAACTGAACCCTAATTGAATTAAAATGCGCATCAATTACTAAGCTAACTGAATCACCTTTTTTTTTTAATTCAATGACTTTTAAAACATGAGAAATTGTAGGCATTTTTTTTTCTTTCAGGATCCCTTATCATTGAGGAAATAAACAGAAAAACCCAAAGGCTAGGAGAAAACTGGGAGTGAGACCCCAAGGGAATATGTCCAACTTCTCCTCTGATTAAATCCTGTGATTTCGAAATTTCAAAATTGAAATTCATCAAACTAAAGAATAGAGACAGCCAGAAACATTGTTGTTTCCTGCTGGGGCAAAGACTTTTTTTTTTTTTAATATGGGCTGTGTTTTTTTTATCCCAAATCACCTTTTGTAAACCAGACTTCCCTCTGGAAGAATCTCAGAAGATCTGGGTTATAGGACTGCAAGATTTCTGAGAATCTTGTTTTTGAAAATATAAATCCTACTATTGAGAATTTTTATTCACTCAGTGTCTAAAAAATGCACACACATAACATCATTTTCCTTTATGATTTTTTTTATGGGAGCAAGAGGTTCTTCATATCTTGAGTGTGACTCAGAAAGACTGGGGTATACTCCATGACCTGACCCATGTGTGCTCTTTCTGTGTTGGCTGCACCTGCCTCTGAGTCTGCCTGTCTGAGGAAGGCAAGCCTTGCCTGCTACAGGTGTTCCGCTATCTTCCTGTGTTCACACTACAGCAGGCTGTGTGCTAGGGTAGCAGAAGCCACGTGACCTCCTTGCCCCACCTAGGACTTCATTCTGTGTGATCCCTGCTTCCTCATTTGCTGTCCACCTCTGGTTCATCCTTCTGTTACTATTTCTAAACCACAAAGAGAAAGCCACCGTTCCAGAACTCTTCAGGGCTAAAAGCTACCCCTCCCTGCCCGTTGGCTGTGACAGTTTTGGCAGTTGGAGGGAGGAACGCACCTCAAGCCCTGTCCCTTTCAGTCTTCTCCACTGAAAACACCTTCATTCTGTTAGCCTGGGACGTCTCCTTTCAAATGAGTGATACGTTCACTTGAGGGCAAAATCCCTCCTCTTGGCCTGTACCTGCCTTCTCCAACTCAGTCTGGGTTTCGTCTTTGTTTTCAAATTGCGTGACTTAGACATCGATGAGTGCAGGATCTCCCCGGACCTCTGTGGACGTGGAATCTGCGTCAACACCGCAGGCAGCTTTGAGTGTGAGTGCTTCGAGGGCTACGAGAGCGGTTTCATGATGATGAAGAACTGCATGGGTAAGTGGGCCAGCCTCGTGCTCTCCCGCCTGAAACGAGAGGAGCACAGGTGCGGTAGCTCTGCCCTTGCTTGTCTCCAGAGCTGCTCACAACTAGCTTGGCAAGGAGCTGTGATGAACGAGAGAGTCCATTAACGTGTCAGACAGGAACTCTCCTGGATAACTCCTGGGGAGCCCCAGCCCCTAGGCGCCTTCACGGCAGTGAGGGCTCGAGACTAGATTCCATTCTTGGTGGAATCTAAAAGGAAAACACAGACGTCATTACTCGGGAGGCCTTCCGTTAAAATGTGGTGACCCCACACGTGTGTGTGTTCAGTCATACGAATCCCAGGGCATTTCCTTTATTTGTGTAGTATCACAAACCCTTTGCCTTTTATGGCCCATTATGTCATTTTCAGTGAAATAAAGGGCTCGCCTCAAAGGATTTGACAAGCTGTTGTACTCAGCACACTCTTTGAATAGAGCGCTAGCTAATAATTGGCAGCAGCACACGGTGGCTTGCTTGTAGGATTATATAAAGCAAAGAGTGTTTCTCCTCTACTTCAGCTGAGCCTGCTCCTTCTTCCAAGTAAAGTTTTTGATAACGTACTATCTGAAGGTGACCAGATTTTAACATTGGTAAAGCGGGACAAAAGCAGGACACCATTGATAAAACTCCTGGCAAAATAGCCACATGGCAGCCGAAAACCATATACCCTAGCTTGTCGTGCATTCTTTCCAAAAATTGGGACTTTTTTAAATGCCGCAGGACGCGAGAAAAATTGTTAAAAATTAGGACTGTCCCTCCAAAAGCGAACGTCTGGTCACCTTACACTATCTGTAAGCGTGGGACCGTTGCCGTGGCTCTACTGGTGTGTGTTGTGGGGAAATGTGAGGAGAGCTTCAGGTCGTCTGGTAGACACACGCCTCAGATGACATTGTCCAGTGCTGTATGCGTGACCTTTCCCCCTGAGAGGTCTTTAATGGATCTCACGTTTTTACCTTTCAGACATTGACGAATGTGAACGTAACCCTCTCCTTTGTAGGGGTGGCACCTGTGTGAATACTGAGGGCAGCTTTCAATGCGACTGTCCCCTGGGACATGAGCTCTCACCATCACGTGAGGACTGTGTGGGTGAGTCGGTCTCCTCAGCGTATCAGCCCACCAAGCACCAGAGGGAAAGATTGGACGTGGCTTTTACACCTCGTGCCTCTTTTGATGCAGGAAATCTGGCTCCTTAAAAGTTAGGGCTTTAGGTTTGCTGCATGTGGGCACAGACTCGGGCTGTCTCTTCAGTGAGGGACACACTCAGTGACAGGAGAGAAGGAGCTGGGATTGGGGACTGGCGTTTTACTTCAAGCACACTCCAGTGCCGCCTGTAGGAAGGGCCTGGGTGGTTGCATGCTGCTCCGCATCCTCCAGGCAGGGAGGAATGAGACAGCTGCTCCGTTGAGAAGGCTGCAAACTGGATCCCCTACCCATGCCCTCGGGTTGCATCTGCTCTGCACCTGTGTCTGTTGTAGGAGACCCTGCTTGCCTGGTGTGAGCACGCACGTGGTGCAGGATTTCCCGGGACATCTGTGGAAGTCCCCTTCCTCCCCATTTCTTGGGAGCCCTGTGGTCTCCCCACTGTCCTGAACTCTTAGGGGTGGCAGAGGGAGATAAGAAAACACTAATGGCCTGTACCTGAGCAATCTGTCCTGTTGCTTTTGTAAACATATGAAAACCTGTGTGTTGTGGTACAATGGCTTTAGAATTTTGATTTCATCTAAAACCAATTTCTTCACAGGAAATGATTGGTAAAAGAGTAAGCATATAAAACAACTCATTAAAATGATTTTTTTTAATTGAGCATACCTCCTCACCATATATATTTATATTGTTGTTGTATATCCCGTATAAATACATATTGCTATGCAAATATCCAAGGTGACTCTAAGGCATGAACAAAACAGGAGCTTTAAAAAGCGCAAAATGCATTAGAGATTTCATTCTGATAGTGGTAGAGAAAACTTCCATTAATCATTGCAAACTATGTCTTCATGGTTCAGTGTACTGTAGTACAGTGATTCAGGCGTCTAACTTCTGCATCTAATTTCAGTTTATATTGTTACTTTCATGAGTGTTGTTTTTTGAAAAAGGCACTTTTCAAAAGCACAAGACTATAAAATACACTTATGGACAGCATAAAGTAAGATCATGTGCACAAACTTATATTTCACTTTTCTTCGTAACTTTGAAACTTGAACATCTTTTGTGTTCTATCTGATTAGATTGATGTTTACCTTGTTCGCATCTTGACGAGTAGTTTGAACAAGGGAAAACAGTACTTTATCCTTTCTTAGCTCTTCTCTTGGACGTACATTACAAATATTGGTTTTTATTTCACACTTCTTTATAGTGGGTTTGAATGCCCACTTTTTGAGGGTATTTTAAAATAGGCAAGATAATCTGGAGATTTGTTTATACAGGTGGGCTGTGCATTTCTATTAACCCTTTCAGTTTCGGGAAACCAGCAATCTTCCTGTGGTATAGTCATTGCACATTGGGCTGTGATCTGCATGGTCAGCAGTTCAAAACCACCAGCCAGCCTTCTGGAGAAAGATGTGGCTTTTTACTCCCATAAAGACTTATAGTCTCAGCAACCCACAGGGGGATCACTATGAGTCATCATTGACTCGATGGTACTAAATTTGGTTTTGCAGAAGTCACACTTAGAAGCTCTGGTCACATAGTGGTTATGTCGTTGGGCTGCACAAAGTCAACAGTTTGAAACCACCAGCTGCTCCGTTGGGGAAAGATGGGGCTTTCTACTCCCGTAAAGAAATCCAGCCTCAGAAACTCACAGGGGCAATTCTACCCTGTCCCATAGGGTCACTGCAAGTCAGCATGGACTCAATGGTGGTGGGTTGGGTTTGGGTTTTTAAATAACACTGTATCATGGAATGAAGACTAGGTGAACATGTCGGTGTCCACACATAAGTTGAGCCTTAGTAAGCTTCATTTCTGACATGCTCTGTGCCTGCGTTATCTAATACAGGAGTCATTAGCCACATACGGCTATTTGACTTAAATTCAGTTAAAGTGAAATGCAATTAAAAATTCGTTTTCCGAGTTTTACCAACCACATTTTGAAGTGTTTAGTACACGTGACTACATACTGGACAGCAGTTATATGATGGTGAGATTGTTGTAGCAGTGTCTTCTGGGCCGCATCATGCTAGAGAGCTATAAATAAGAACAGCAACACACATTCCAGTATCTTGTTTCTGCTTCCCAGAAACTCCTCCCCAAAGTGCACACTGGAGACCACAGCTCCGAATGTTGAAGTGATAGGTTGTGTCCTAAATCTTGTGTCCTAAATTGTTAATTCTGTGTACCTTTTGTAGATATTAACGAATGCTCCCTAAGTGACAATCTCTGTAGAAATGGAAAATGCGTGAACATGATTGGGACCTATCAGTGCTCTTGTAACCCTGGATACCAGGCCACACCTGACCGCCAGGGTTGTACAGGTAAGCAGGGAGATTTAGGATGTGTATGTCTCCAAGCAGCTTGGGAAAACTATTGGCCCTAAATGTGTAATAAAGTTGTTCCAAGACGCCTTTGCCCTAAAACTGAATCTAAAAATGGAGGCAGAGCTCTAAGATACCATAGCTGGTGGTTTTGTGTAGAGCCACTGGTCTTAAGATTTTAAAAATTCCTCAAATCCATGGTTTTCACATTTATGACTTCCTTCAGTTCTAAAGTGCTAAAATGTGATGTTGGGATCCCTGGTGGCACAATGGGTTGCACTCAGGATTGCTAACCACAGGTTCAGCGGTTCAAACTCACCAGCTCCTCCTCGGGGCAAGATGAGGCTTTCTCTTCCCATAAAGATTTACAGCCTTAGAAACCCAACGGGGCACTTCTATCATGTCCTCTCTATAAGGACATTATTAGTCGGTATGAACTTGAGGGCAGTGAACTTGAGTTTGGGAGAATTCGATTTTGAGAATCCCTAGTGGTATCACAGGCTATGCTACTAACCAGAGCGTCAGCATTTAGAACCCGCCAGCATGCTCCCCCCTTACGGATTTACAGCCTCGGAAGCCCTTGGGGCAGTTCCACTTTGTCCTGTGGGGTCTCTGTGAATCAGAACCAGATACAATGGCAGCGCTTTGTTTTTCATTTGTTCATTTTAGAATTAGATGTTCAATGGAATTCTGTCTAATTGGAAGTAGAAAGAACTAAAACTGACAACTGGTGTAGTGGCAAATCCACACAAATAATGAAGAGCAATTTGCATCTATTTAAGCTTTCTGTTTAAAACTAAGGGGAAAGCAGGAGAAATTTGACAGTAATTCCTTAGTGCTTTTTTGTCTGAGGAATCAACCCTTCGAACGCGATGAGGCACTCCAGTGGCTGGCATGTTCTTTTCACAGATATCGACGAATGTCTGATCATGAACGGGGGCTGTGACACGCAGTGCACAAATTCCGAAGGAAGCTACGAATGTAGCTGCAGTGATGGCTACGCGCTGATGCCAGATGGGAGATCGTGTGCAGGTACCGAGTGAAGAACTATAACTATGTGCTTTGTACATTGAATTTATTTTCATGTTCCACATCTATCTGCAGACACTGGCGGGTGGAACTGGACAGGAAAACATATTTGATGTTGACAAACGTCATTGTTTTCCTTTGACGTGAATTTTGTATCACCAGATATTGATGAGTGTGAAAACAACCCTGACATCTGCGATGGGGGCCAGTGTACCAACATCCCGGGAGAGTATCGCTGTCTCTGTTATGATGGTTTCATGGCTTCTATGGACATGAAGACATGCATTGGTGTGTATCATAAGAAGAAGATAAGTACCTACACAAACACATGCGTGCATGCACAATGTGTAGATGAACATGAGTCAGGCTTTTGTGGTGGTTGATTATAAAGATAGCGTATTTGATGCCATAAAAGCTGAGAAGGATGGACTACTTGGGGGAAAATTTTCTGAAAGATGGGTAGTGCACTATCTGTACTATTAGGGCTAGCCAAATTAATATAGTTTAATAGTTTCATCTGTAAATGTATCATGCTATTCCGTTTAAAAGACAGCATCTAAATTACCAGCTAACCGAGAAACTGAAAAATTCATTTTCCAGATGTGAATGAGTGTGACTTAAATTCAAACATCTGTATGTTTGGAGAATGTGAGAACACCAAGGGGTCCTTCATCTGCCATTGTCAATTGGGCTATTCTGTGAAGAAGGGGACCACGGGATGTACAGGTGAGTTTCAAGCAGTTGGCTTTTCCCTGTGGTAGCCTCTTTTCTCTGCCATCCCCACCGCTGAGCACACTGTGGGATGCCAGCTGCAAGCGAGTGAGTGGCAGAGTGAGTGAGCAGGGGCGTGAAGTCTGCCCCCATTGTCCTTCTGATCGCCCCTTTCAGCAGCGCTCACTTTTTAAGGACGGTTGTTGCCCAAATAAGAGACACACATGAAGGAGGAGTCATCCGAGAGCCAGAGGGACCATACATTTTTGTTTCTTCAAAGGGAATGAAAGTTAGCCTGTGGTTCTGTGTATGTACTTTTCCTCCTTCCCTCGGTGTTTCTCTTCTCCTTTTCACTTCCCTGCGCCTCTCCAGCTTCCTTTGCCCTCTTCCTGCCCCAGGTGCTTCTCTCTTTTCTCTAAGTTCCTTCCTGGTTGATCCCATTCGTTGTGTCTTGTGTTCCTTCTCTTCATTGGATGGTTTGAGCCTTTCGCCTACTTGTGGGGTAAGAGATGCCAAGTTCAAGATTTGGGACCAGGTGTTCCTCTTTGCTGAGTTTATAGCCCAAGTATGGCATTTTGTTCAAGGAAGATAGATAGATAGAT